ACGCACGCACGCACGCACGCACGCACGCACGCACGCACGCACGCACGAGCGCACGCACGCACGCACGCACGCACGCACGAACTCACGCACGCACGCATGCACGCACGCACGAGCGCACGCACGCACGCACGCACGCACGCACGCACGCAAGCACGCACGCGCGCACGCACGCACCCACGCACACATACACACACACACACACGTACTTGTTTCTTTTTGTATTTTACCCAATATTCTGGTTTTATGTTACCTAAAATCTTGCTCCTTTTTAGTACCAATGCCCAACTATTATTTCTGTAATTTTTACTCAAATAACTCAACTATTGTCACCGAACACTGATTTCCAAGATACAGGCCTGTGCCTGGTTTGGATAATCAGAGTTCAACAATCGATTTGTACAACTGTTACTTAATTAGGTTTAGTGGTACCTTGTCTTTCATATCTGTACTTATTATTATTATATTATTATTTGTTTACGCTCAACCCACAATGTGTGATTTTGTATCGAATGTAACTGTGAATGTAACTAAAAAAACCATTTCTAAAATTTTACCCTTTAAAGCCATAAGCAGCGTAACTGATGTCGTTTTTGCCAATATGGTAAATATTTTCTTTGCATACTCATGTTTCTGTTGGCGAAATCTTTTTCTTTTTTTCAGTATTGTTATTCTTCGAAAAATACGAGCCTGTTACATAGACGAATTGCCAGAATATCTGTGAAGTGGAGAAAAAAAGAGCTTGGTAAAATAAAAAAGAAGGCAGTCGGTGGAAACTAAAAATATTTGTCAACAGCAACAGCGGTGCGCCATAAACCGCACGACGGAATATTCCCGTTCCATATCAGCCCTTTCAAAAGTTTGCAATGGGGACGAGTAGGGAGTGAACGTGAAACACGTCATTCCTTTTTTGTTACTTTTTTTACGATATGTGCGAATTTCGAAGTAATCGATGGAAACAAATTTGATAGAAGTCAGTATTTACATTAATAATGCCCTTTAAATACAAGCACTGCCCGAGTAGTGACTTTGTAGAGTTGTTGAGCAAATTTGGTAACGATACATTTTTAATGCGTTTCACCTGACGTATAATGGGACAGTGTTGATGTTCATAACTGCGAAACTGGTGGTGGGCGACGTTGATGGTATTTTTGGTTGTGTTAAATTGTGCTCTGGTGTACTGCGCGTGTTCTTGACTGAATCAATGGCACATTTGTCCCACAGTACATGTACACCGCCACCAAACTTGGCGAATAGACCGTATACAGCGTGTAGCGATATTTCACGCGCTATCGCGTCAACTGTCGCGATATGCATTGACGGGCGGAACGCTCGCGATTTCATTGACGCATTGACAAGTATATTGTAAATTGTGTGTGAAGTAAAAATTTTGTAGTTTATTGTAGACTACAATTTGCATATCATATGGAAAAGGAAAAGCCTCAATCGATAATAAAATAGAATAAGATAATATACGATAAGAGAATAGATTAAGTTAAATTGCACACTTAATCATCTATGTGGAGAACAGCTGTCAACAAGATTTGATTTTTTTATTATTTCTATGAATATTTCCCAAGGAACCCGAATTTTAATTTACTACGTATATCCATTTCATTGCAAATGGAAAAAAAATAAAACATCGAACTGAAGCAAGGAAGGGGAAAACCGAGTGGATCGCATGAAAAATAGAGTGCATGATCATGTCATTTGAAGTATATGTAAATGGTCTTATTTCTAAACGATTGTTTCGCAGATAACAACTAACAGATATTATTCAAGTGATTTTGAGAGTCTTACTCCTGGACACAAATAGCCATGGCTGATTGGTCGGAGCAAGGACAATTTGTTTATAGGTGGAGATTTTAAGATGGTTTTAACCTGGACTATTTGGACGTTGCGACTCAAACGACGGCCCACCTCTTATCGTGACCTGCGTGCCCAAACACGTTTGAGAATTTAATGGCGACAACTAGTGACACGGTCGGCGTAGCTGAGTTCTGGGCCACAATAGTATGTTATCGATACGATAAGAAGAAGAAGAAGATTCAAGAGATGGGTAACAATACGGTATTTAACAAGAATCGGAAATTAAAAGTTTTTTATACAAGTTTAGAAAATCTCAAATTGATGACAAAACGTGAAAATGTAATCCAAATAAGCAATATTAATTTGATTAAATAGCATGATACTTTTGCTGCGAGACACGGTAGTTGGTAGCTAGGTAACTATGGTGAGGCAACAGATGCCAGTTCGAGTCCAGTTGGATCGAAGGAACTTTTTGTGATTGTGGTTTTTGTATTAATTTAGTCAAAGTCATTAAAAAGTAAAAGTGACAGATATCCAAAATTCTGGAATTAAATCAAAACAGTGATATTTATTTGTGACGGTGACGGCATGCTTTAGTGATATCATAGAAAGCCAATAATGAGCACCATTTTCCTAAAAATCTCCCCACTAAAATTTCTAGCTAGCAGTAGAGACAGAAAGTTCGACGTGTCATTCTAATCAAGTAAAATTTTACAGAGTATAGCATCAAAAAACCAGCCATCGACCATTAACTTCTACGTACGTATGTCCCATCCCACTATGGTACAGTTGTGATGTACAATCGGAACCACATCAAGCTACACATTGACGGATCTTGTCCGTCGCACTGGAGGCAATAAATTCGAACAAAAGTATATAGCTTGATGTCCTGTTGACTGTATCTATCGAGTTCTTAGGTTTTGCGATTGCTATACACTACGAATAAAACTAATTTAGCTCGAAATGTTATTATAATTGTTTTCTTACATAAACAAAACTTTAGGGTTGTTGACAGGTTACAAGATCACGGGTGGCTATGAAATTGTTCTGTACTGTTAATTGATTCACATGTTAGACATGTTCATGTGTATGTATAACTTACATAAAATTACATCAATGTTTATTGAGTTTGACGACCTCGGTGGCCTAACGATTTATACAATACCCGATAGGACTAACTTGGGAAATGAAATTTTCTAAATTGATTCTAGTCTGGGTGTTCTGGGAAGTGCCCCGAGTGCATTCCGCTGCTCTGGTACTCGTAATAGAGGTAACCTATACAGTTCGAAATTTTAAAATAAAAACTTTATTGCTGTCGCATAGTGTTGAACAAAATCTCAAATTGATGCCAAAACGTGAAATATGATCCAAAGTAATTGAAATAGTAGTGATGAAAGAGACTCAGTCTTTTAAGGCGTTTTATAACGACTGGACTTCATTTGACAGGACTTGACTCTAAAATTAAGACTGGGGGTTCGAGATTTTATTAATAAGACTCAGTCGTTATACTAAAAGATTCAAAAGACGTAAACGACTTAAACGACTTGAATGACTTAAAATACTTAAACAACTCGAGTTGATTGCAAACGACTTATACCTATTTTATGTCTTATTAAACCCGAAGTTTATATAAAAATGACGTAAGTTGTATGTAGTAAATAATCACGTTTATTTACTTTTAATAAAAATCGTAACATAAATACCTTGTGGGTAGAAATAAAATCACGCCATACGGCTCATGACTCGCGACTCTCGAGGCTATGACGCGTCAGTCGTTTTAGTCTTTTGAGTCGTTTTAGTCCTATAAGTTTTTTAAGCTTCCTAGGGTTAAAAGACTTCGACTCGAATTAGTCTTCAGTTTTAGTCTTATGACTCAAGACTTGAGGGTTAAAAGACTAGACTAGTCGTGAGGCGTTGAAAATTAGTCGAGGTTTTTTAAAGGTCTTAAAAGACTAAGTCTCTTTCATCATTATGAAATAGTCACAGATATCCTGAAATAAGGATGTTAAATACTGGCAATACTTATTTGAAACGTCATACTTCAGTGGTGTCAAACGAAGCCAATACAATTGACAACGTTCATTTATTGATTGGTATAATATCTAGGGATTTGAACGTTAAGTCTGTCATCTTAAACAACATTGTGCTCATATTTTTACGTGTACTTGAATGTGTTATGTGAAATCAGTATTCACATTTCTCGTCACGTACAATTTGTCAGAATTATGAGCGGGGCTTGCGAAATTTTGACGCCTCGCTTCTTACATACGAATATATGTCGACCTTTATGTGTTGTGTTTTAAATGTATGATATTACATTATATTATAGATATAAATAATCCGTTTGAATATTTTAGTAGCACTGTAGCTCCTCAGTTCGTCCGGGAAAATACTGCCACCACCCATTTCTGCCGCCAAGCAGCAATGCGAGCATTACCGTGGTTTGATTTTGAAGGGTAATGTTGGTAAAATTATAGTTACTAATTAGAGGTTATCAACTCATGTCTCAGGAGATCTTTGCGATTTACAGCTCTGAGCGGCACTGCAAAAATCACACTACTACGTTTGATTACAATAACTTTAAACATACTAAGTGCTCAGATTATGTCTCGTCTTTGCCTGTTCCTATATTTATAAATTTACACTTGTATGCAATAAAGTGTATAAGCATTGTATTTAGTCTAGTTACCTTTAAAAAAGAATAAATACGTAGTCATAAATTAAATACCACCAATGTTTAAACCGCAAACAAACAAAATGCGTAAGTGTTTAATTCAAAAAAAGACACCCAAAAAACTTTTACCATAAAAATGTAATGCTTTAGAAAGCATTAAAAGAGCTTAATTTTGCCCGACGCTTCTATTCTTAGCTAAGCCCTGTAGACTGTTATATAAACCTCTTAAATCAATACGAAATACCCATTTTTCATCGAGAAAAGCTCGAAAGCTTTCTCTAGCAAAATTTAGTCTAATGAACGGTGAATACAGGGCTACTTGAAAATACGAGTAC